TGAATCCAAAAGATGCATATGAAAGCTGAATGTTTGGGGAATCTAGCAAGTATCGATATATTACTGTGGTTTTATTCTATGTATTATAGTTATCGAGTAAATCATTGAAATGTAAAAACACTGCTTTTTCGAGCAATTTTTCAAATTTTTACTCGAATTACAGCTAAACGGCTAAATTAATTGCTGAAATTTTGAAGATTATTTTATGACTTTGTACTGTTTCTATAAACAATCAATGTTCAAGTAAATTACAAGAACGTTCTTAATTCACTGCAGAAAGTTGTGTTCAATTTATGTATTGATGAGGATAAATCAGGTAAATGCAATTTGAAGACTTTTAACGAATTACCCAGGATTAATTGTATTGAAATTGTATGTAAAATTATACAATATTGATGCATAAAGTCAATGTTAGTATACATGACAATTTTGCATGTGCAAATTACAAATTCGTTGTAATTTACGTAAATTAAAATTGTTAATTATGAAAATTTCACACAGAATTAACACGTATTAAAGTTCAGTAGAGTTTCTATATGCAATTTACAGTTTTTTTCTCAGATAAAGTGAACTTCAAAACTTTTATATGCTTGAAATCTTAGACTATAATTCAAGTAAATTCTATTAAAAAATATCCACTTAATAACTGATATGGGTTTGAAAATGTATACTATATTGAAGTATTAGGGACTGTTGATTACATATCGATTCGCATAATCATAGGATCACTTCGATTGCGCAAAGTACAGTTCCTATGCGTAATTTATCTTTTAATTGTTTTGACTGTGATTCAGCTAAATGCAATTTGAAAGCACAAACCGGTTATTCAGTTAGTAATTAGTGTCAGCCATAGCGAGCAGCTAATTGGATAGGCTGTGCACTGAAATCAGATTCCAATTCGGATGGTCAGCAGCATTTGCGACACGAATCTCTCTTTTTCTCTACTCTTTTGTTCTCTTCTTTTACGCCAACTAAACGAAATGAATGCTGTATTTTCAACAGAAGTTGCAAACTAATCCCGTTAATCTCATCTCAATTAACTGCACGTAAATATTTTCATTGAAAATGTATTAATGATGGATTTGGATTTTTGTTTCAATTAATTAATTAATAAATTGCTGTTATTTTCTCGAATTTGCGTTTGGAAGGAAATTAAACGGTGTCAAGGACTAAGCGATCCAATTAATAATAAGATATATCGCAGTTGGCGGTCTTCATTCCTGGCTAAGGCTTAGGGCTAATGCAAAACTTTCGGTTACATTTTGACGAACGGTTTAATTGTAAGTTTAAATTATGAATGGCTTCAAAGATATCGAGTACAAAGTAATCCTATTAGTCAGCGACGGATGAATCATGCGATAAAAGTTTTTGGAGGTCCTGGAGCAACGAAGATGCTGAAGATACTCTCTCACACTCGTTCTCCGTGCAAACTTTTCTTATTGAAAGAAGGAAAGAAACTTCGTTTCCGTCGCATATTATGCTAAATCCCTTCGCCTAATCAGCATAACAAAAGATACAGCAGTTTCCAATTCAAAGAAGTCCCCGCAAAACGACGTGTTTCCTTTTTATTTTTATAGCAATTTTATCCCAGATTTTCTTCAATTTCAATCCGACAAAGTATGTTCAACATTAATTTAACAAACGTTTTTTAGCTGTAAATTCGTTGTCGAAATCATAATTAAGAAATTCTATATTGAAAATAATTTAGAAATTAAAAAAAAATAACCAATAAAGAAAAAATATTAACGTATTTTATAGACAAATAATATTTCTATTTATAATACAAATTACTGTGAAAAATCCAAATCGTTAAATTCATCTCTTATTAAAATTGTCCAAGGTTAGGATTCATTGATTTATACTCATAAGAATATTAAAACTATAATTGTAAAAGATGTATGTTTTAATTCCTTATGGAAATTGAAATAATCAAACTGTAATTTGAATTTTGTGTTTAAATTTGAAATGTTGAAATGCTAATTATATAGACAAAATAATAATCTAATAAACGTTATTTTATTTATAGTTATTGAGTAAATTGTGGACACAATTTAAATAAGGAAATTTTCAACATAGACTTACTAAATTGAGACTATGTTTCTTATATTATTAATCTTAATCATTGATTATTGTCTATTGATAATGATTATTAATGTATAGATGTAAATTTGTTTTATTTGTATTATTTTCTTCAATTTCAATCCGACAAAGTATGTTCAACATTAATTTAACAAACGTTTTTTTAGCTGTAAATTCGTTGTCGAAATCATAATTAAGAAATTCTATATTGAAAATAATTTAGAAATTATAAAAAATTTACCAATAAAGAACAAATATTAACGTATTTTATAAGACAAATAATATTTCTATTTATAATACAAATTACTGTGAAAAATCCAAATCGTTAAATTCATCTCTTATTAAAATTATCCTAGGTTAGGATTCATTGATTTATACCCATAAGAATATTAAAACTATAATTGTAAAAGATGTATGTTTTAATTCCTTATGGAAATTGAAATAATCAAACTGTAATTTGAATTTTGTGTTTAAATTGTGTTAAAATTTGAAATGCTAATTATATAGACAAAATAATAATCTAATTTAGAAACGTTATTTTATTTATAATTATTGAGTAAATTGTGGACACAATTTAAATAAGGAAATTTTCATCATAGACTTACTAAATTGAGACTATGTTTCTTATATTATTAATCTTAATCATTGATTATTGTCTATTGATAATGATTATTAATGTATAGACGTAAATTTGTTTTATTGTTTTTTAATTGTTATGAGTGGGCGAATAGCACATAAGTTGGCAGTGGTATTTAGAACGTCCAGGGATGATTTAATTTCAGCTGAAGTTTTCCAGTGTCATGTCGAGAAGGCAATTTGGCTGGAGTTCAGCAGATCCATTGATAATGCCTGGGGTGCCGAGCTGGCGGCGTCCGAACCCCCCGTGATGACCTTTTTACAGCGGGGGTGGCGTAGTCTCGGATGAATAACAGTTAAACCACCCCATTTCCATCCCTCGTACATACCACATTATGAAACCCGTCGGGGTTCGTAATTAAAAATAATAATAATAATAATTACAAATTGTACTCACCAGTTTGTTTTCTGGATAGACCGGCTGTATGTCGATGTACCTGGGGGGCGTGGGCTTCTCGCGCCTCGCCAACTCTTCCTTCCTCTGGTACTTGTCGTCATCGATGGCGTGGCCGTGCTGGTCCCGGTGAATCCCCTGGGAATCGATAAAGCGCATCTGGTACTCGTGCGAGACGCCGTGCGAGTCCAGATAGTGACCTCTCTCCTTGTCCTGGCTCTGCCTCTTGTTTCCGTTCTGGGTGTCGTGCTTCTGGGATCCCTGCTCGTGGTGGTCCACCATGTGCAGAGAATGCTGGGCCGGAAGCACCGGGAACTCCCTGGAATGGGCCGGCTCCGAGTGCTCCTTGTGATGGTGATCCTTACCGTGGTGATCCTTGTGATGGTGATGGGCCGGCGGATGCCCCAGGTGGCTGGGATGACCTGGAGCATGGTGATGCGACGACTCCACCAGCGTCGGCTGGATGTGGGTGACGAACTGCGCCATCCTCCTCGAAAGTTCTTCTCGCAGCACCACTCTCACTACATAGTAACAACAATCCGGATGCACGAAGTGTGTGCTGCACGTTAAAGTTGATTTTCAGCAAGGCGACAAACTGGGGCCCTTCTCCTCTCTTCGGAAAGCGAAGAGACGGAGAGAGAGAGAGAAAGGTACGTAAAGTTAGGTGATTTTTTGTTTTGTAATTATTATCGTCAATTAGAGGAAGACTTGGTTGGTGTGCAACAGATCAAGACATTCTGCGGCCGGCTCACTCTCTCTCTGTGTGTTATCGACGATTGCGTGTATGTATAAGTCTGTGTGTGTGTGCGAATGTTTAGGGGGTGTTCGGGGGAATAAAATCTTGGGAATTTCCTTCCTGCCGCCAACGCCGCTTTCCCGCTCTTCCCGTCGAATCGATACGGCCCTTTCGGACGGTCAAAACTGCCAGAAGCCAGGTTCGAGCTGGAGCTTTCGGGACTCTCGCGAACTGCCGCCCCCCGATGTACAATACTTTCTTCTCCACCCTTCGGCGCGAATGTTGTGTCCCGGGAAGCTCGCATGCGCCATATCCACCTTCTCTCTGTTTTCAAATACCCATTGTGCACACCCACAACCACCACCCTCTGCAGCCGCCCCTCACCTCTGAAACCACCGCCGACGTCTCCACCCCAACCCTCTTTGTATCATGCACATTTTTGTTTTTGTTTTTTTACTTATTTCTTTACTTATCACATAACCCTGTTTACATCTTTAATACTTAATAACGTGCATCAAAAGCACTAACTTTTGTTTATTTTCCTATCTACAATCTCGAAACAAAATTACTGTAAATATTTATATATTACAAAAATCTACATATTAACAATTCGTTAAATAATGTTCAGTTAATTAAATAATCAATTTCCTTAACATTCACGTACTTAATCTGTGAATCCACACCTTTAATACTTAATAACGTGCATTGAAAGCACATGCATCCATTTAACTTTTGTTTATTTTCCTATCTACACTCTCGAAACAAAATTCCTGTAAATATTTATATTTTACATCCAGCGATTAACACACAAACCTACATATTAACAATTCGTTAAGTAATTTTCAGTTAATCAAATAATCAATTTCCTTAGCTTAATCTGTGAATCCACACCTTTAATACTTAATAATGTGTATCAAGTAAGTACATACCATTTGTTTAATCTTTCTTTGTTCCACACTACCTAACTACACTCAATTCAGAAATTACTGCAATCATTTTCATTTGAAATCTAAAAATTACATAAAAACTTAAGAATATATATTTTACTAAGTGATTATTTTACTAAGTGATTTTAGTTAACTTTAGTTAAATTTTAAATAATCTATCTTATATCAAGTATATCTTTCAAAACCTTCGATATTTTCGAAATCCCAATATTTATATTTCCACTCGTTTGTGATTTATTGTCATAAATATTCCATTCAGTAATATTTTATTTCATTGTTTGTCACATATTCTCATTGTTTTTTTTTTTAATTTATACAGTTTTTACTTATGATTTCTCAATAACCAAAAATATGATTCATCATGGTCTTCAAAATTGAAACATTTATTACTTTAACTTAACAAATTAAGAGTTATTTTTTTCTGTTCGCTAAGTTCAGATAACATTAATAACATTACCACAAGTTGTTAGCAAAACAAGAAAACCACACCTACAATGTTAATTTCAATATGTCACGCAACTTAGAAGCAAATTCGAATCTAATTAGCAGCGAGCTTTCAATGTTTTAATGACTATTGATTTTTCTGATCATTACTCACTTCACTTTAATTAAATTAATTTAATAAAAGAATTAAAAATTTCAAAAAGTACATAAAGATAAGAAATCTAATGACCAAATAGACCATATTACTTCATATCGTCTTTGGTTGAGGATTTTTCAAACGATTTTCCAAGTTTCTGAAATTCTTACGCCAGCAGACATGTTGGTATTTAAGTTACGAGGGACATAAGCACTTCGGCCAAAGACGGCACCGATGATTTACATCCGCAAATGTTTTACAGTCCTATTGCCGCCCATGTTTCGCATGCAGAATTCACAGCCGCATGAATAATATATAGCGTGGAGCGAGGGTCGAAATGTGCAAGGATATTTACTGTGGAAAGGGAAGAAAATAAAAATGAAAACACGTAGAAAAGCAGAGAAAGGAGGAGGACTTGCAGTATTTGGGTGCCGCTGGATAAGCCGCTGACAATTTCATTCCAAACACACGTACAAACATTCACAATCAATAAGGATCCAGGCATTTTCATTCTTACTTTTTACTTCCACTTGTGTGATTTCAGCAACGTTTTCTTTTACTTTAAATTTTAAACATTTTTGTTTTCGCTTTACATTTGCGTAAAATTCAGATATGTATTTGGAATATCCACGTGACTATATAAAGCGGAGCGTTGCAATAAATTAGACTTAATGCCTGTTTACACGACTTACTTTACATTGGAAACAATAGGATTCTCATAATTCTGAAATGGAAACTAGGCTTAATAATAACAGTAAAATGACTATTTTTAATTGTTTATTTCATCTATATAAAAAACGTTTCCTTTTGTTCCTGCTTAGTAGTTTTATATTTAAGCAATGTTTACATAGTTATAAATATACGAAATTGTTATCTAAATTTCTGAAACATTTGCTTTACTTTCTAAAGATCAGAATGGTAATTATTCTTGGTCACATTTTCAAATATGCTTTTAAGAAATTACACAAAAATAAAGTCACTTGGATTTAATTTACTTTTAAACAGTAAAATTTGCTTCCTTTTTGACTCTAGAACAAAAAGATGATATAGATGACTAGATAAATAAGTAAATCAAAATGTCGTTATTGCTGACAAGGAAATATCCATATTTGTCATCAATGATTCACTTTAACTATAGTTCGTTTAGTTTTGCTTTTTCATAATAGAATAAACGATAACTGTATCATTAATCTAATCTGGCGTTCAATATGCAGGTGGTATTTAGCTGAAAATAGAGTCTTTTGCGTCGATGGAAAACGTTGCAAAAATGCAGTTAGATAAAATTACAAAACTAATAACAAAAAAAAAAGTAGAAAGAAAATGGTAACAGCACATAATAATAGCACAGTATCGTATAGTAATAGAACTAACGTGCTCTTATCTTATCAGGAATAACTAGTTATGCGTGCGAGCAACGTTACAGCACTCGTAATTGTGGCGTAGACACGTCGAGTATTACCAGGTGTGTTGTGTTTTTTGTTGGATTTAGTCATGGACAATACGTGAAGTGTGCCGTCCTCCCCCGCATGACGTTCCTCTAACATGCCCGACGTCCCGCTCAAGACTATCTCTGCACAGGTGGATAGGACTCAGAGGCAGAGTCTTCCTTCTTTGCTGCCCATCAAGCCAATTCTGAGGCAGACGCAGTCCCAGAATTGGGGAAAGAAGAGACCTCATGTACCACCGACTATACTCGAGGTGGAGACGGAAGTCAATCAGTCGAGGGCTTCCAGTGTCCGGTCGCATCACAGCAAGAAGTCTCAGAGGAAATCCTCCGAAGCGGTGAACGGATATGAGAATCAATCGTACGATGGACCTCTACCACCCAACAGAACTACGAATTACTCCAATAGTCTTAGATCCAGTCACAATTCCAGTCTACAAAGTTTACAGTAAGTCCAATATTTTTATACTGAAATGATAAAATTTGACTTTATAATTCATTGATTTACATTATTATATTTAAAACCTAAAACTGAATGGTACAAACATTTTAAATTTAGTTTTATTATCAAAGATAAACGTTTCTTCATATTAACAGTGAATAAAATTTCAGTTTATGTGTCGAGCGAAATTTAAAATTTAAATAAAACAATCAAATCATTGCTGCTATTATTATCTTTATACAAAAGCAGAATAAGGCAAAAAAATAAATATGTATATAGCAGCACTTTGCATAATGTAGTTACTTCAATAATCCGGACTAATCGAGAAATGAGACTTTACTTTTGTATAAAGGTAGAAAAGCCGATTATTTATGTATGAACAATTCTTTTTTAGGACTTATTATTATTTTGTTCAATTGAATTTTAGTTTGTTTCGTCATTTACAAACCGTATTTTAGTCCAGGGTTTCCCAAACTGTGATCTGCAGAACACGAAGAGTAAATAAGTGAAAATTTCAGGATTTACGAACTGTGTTCCATTGCAGGAAAAGTTTGGGAAACCTTTCTCGAGTCAATCCGGACTGTTCGAAGCCGCACAATGTTGTATATATTACAAATTAATTGTTATACAACGCGATATTAAAACAACCGTTAATATTAAGTTCCAACAAACATAATGAATTGTACATCAATAAAAAAAAAATAGTCACGTGTATCTGTTAATTGATCGCAGCACGCCGTAAATGAATTTATCTGATAAGCGTATCGAGTGTTTACATAAATGAACGTAAAATACAACCTTCCTTGCACAACAATCTAAAGATTATAAAAATGGGATAATCTGTCTACAGTATTTTTTTCATATATTTTCTTGCAAATTTACTGAAATATTTCAATTATTACATAACTATTTTTATTTGTAAACGGAGAGCGCAATATTCTAATTATTTATTTAAGATACTTTAGAACAGATAATGTCGAAGATTGATAACAAAGGGAATATTTTGTTTGTTTGTGTGTGTTTTCTCTCGAATTTCTATTCATCTCAAGCGCGTTTGTAAACAAGGAGCAAAACGAAAACATCAATTATTCTAAATTTAGCTTGTTTGTCCGTAGCTTCAGGCATTATGCATCATCCCGTGCAGTCGAACGCTGCGAGTATTTGTGTACGTAATCTTCACGGAACACCTGCTCGTAATTGCCTTTCAGGTAGAAAAAAGATTATCATCCTCCGACAAGAATTCAGTTCAGTTCGCGTAACAATAATATATAAAACGTTATTACTCTTTTTTTTAATTAATTATAAAAATTTAACTTTATTTTCAGGGTACAAAAAGAGCAGTACTGCTGCTGCTCTCGATGGTCACCGTGCGAAAGGAAACTTGTGGTGTCTGTGGCTGTGTTGGCGACGATCATCGTCATCCTTCTTTCGATAGTGTCGGTCCTGGCGAAGACTTCGGATGAGGAAGAACGGAAGGTGGATGTCCCGCATAGGCCGCTCTTGTTGAACATATAAAAAAATGAAAATAAATCGCAACCAAATATTCTGTACATACGAAATATCTATCTATATTTTTGTTTATAATAAAATACGAAAGACTGAATCGTTTCTCTTTGCGCCCGATAACAATTCAGTGATAAACGTGTATCGTCGGAAAGGTTCTTCAAGGTCGTGTGCATGTCTGTTGGAATATACATCTTCCGTCGACTGTTGTGTGCAGCCAGCGAGATCAGTCGTTGGACGAATCCGGCTACTACCAGACGTACTCAAAACGCACAATTGATCCGAGTTAATTCAATAATCATCAATTTGCAAAGAGAAAATAGGTATGAGATTATTACTTATTTAATCATTAATAACTTATTGCATTATACAGTAAAAACTATATATATTTAACTTGTTCAATTTGTATTGATAATCAATAAACCAATTTTTGAATTGTCGAAAAAAAAATGCAGATTCAAAGTTCAATACGATTTCACGTTAATATTTCAAATTATTTCCAAATTTTGAACGAAATTAATTTAAAGTAAATGACTGTTGTATTTCTAAGTGTTAAATAACGATAGAAGATTGCTAAAATTACATAAATTTCACTGAATACAATTTAAACAATTCTAAATACAGTGAAACCTCTCTTAACGAGTTTAATCAGTTCCGGATTTTGAAATACTCGTAAATTACGAGTGTAACTTTATATAACGATTTTGCTTTTCAAATCTATGGTTCTTTTAATTCTTTGGCTTTTTATTCGAAGACATGCAAATGTTATTACATTTTGCACCAAAATAACATGTCTGAACACAAGTTTGGAAATTTTGTGATCACAAACAACACTAAGATGCAACTAGAATGACCACTAACACTAGAAACTGTTTTCCAATTCACAGACGGTGAAATGAATTTATATTTGTTTATTTTACTTGTATCAATTCGGGGACTTGTTGGAATTCTCTTTATACTTTTAATATTTGTTTATATAAAAAAGCGAACATGGATTGTTTATATATTATAATAATCACAATACATTTGTGATTTGCATTTACAGCAAACACAAATTATATTTGTAAATTCCGCTTTAAACAAAGATAACAAAGAAAATCGAAGATGGTTAATATATTCAAAAATACACCACATAATATGTACACAAGTTTTAAAAATGATGTAAAATGCGCACAATCCGGTACTTCTCTTCTCATCGTCACTCGTTATGCGAAACGTCGCTCGTTAAGCGAGTCAATTTTTCGTACAAGAATCGATCTGATGTATTGATGTTATCTTGAAGCAATTCGTCTTTATAATCCTTGTTTATAGTTTTCTAAAAGTAAAATGTGTCGTTTGGGAATGGCAAGGTTTTCCTTCTTCCCCTGCGAATTACTCGTGGGAATAAGGGAAATCTTCCTGAGGCTGATGAATCAAGATGAGGAGAGCACATGGGACGCCGCAACTGTTCGATATATTTTCCGAGCAGTATTAAAGTGGTTTTCTCGTCCAATAAATCAAAAGCAATTTATAAGCACAAACACATATAAAACAGCAGTAAATAAACAAAATTAATAAAGCAATTTAACACATCTCGTTATTTATTTCATTATATTTTCATTTACATTTATGAAAAATGAAAATTTTGATTATATTTTTTTTAATTTGAGGAAATTTAAATCAATTTAAATCAATATACTCATTCTATTGTTGTTTTTAATTTATTTAATTAGAAATAATTCTGAAATTTGCTTTATTATTTTGTTTAATTTGAATATTCTGTGAAATCCAACAAGATTATGACATTCCAAGAAAGTTAATTGTTAATTGAAAATTGATTTGCTTTTTGTTATACTTTACAATTAGTCTATTTTCTTTAACAAAACAATAAGAGTATTAAAAAAAAACCAATATTAGTTAATGAAATTCGTGATGTAATGAAAGTTTCGTCGAACACTGTTTGATTCGATGCTGCGCACAAATGAAGTGCACGTTATGCGAGGGCGGCGGCGACGGCATAGAGGGGTGCGAAAGTTCACGGTTGGAAGGGCAAATATACAGAGGGTTTTCACGTCCCGACGGGTTCCGTTTTTAATTATACTTTTACGGCGATCCGACAAAAAAAAAACAGGGTTTAAATGAAAAGTATTAAAAACAAAAACTATACTTGAAAAAAAAGCATTCAATACACATTTAGAGCCGTATAATTTGTAGTTAGGATGAAAACCAAATACTTTTGCTTTGATGAAAGTTTTAATAAGCCAAGAAAAAAATGTAAGAGTTTGGATTTAATCGGTAAGCTAATATATGCTAAACCTATTTATATTATGATAGAAATTATAGTTATGAAGGAACCTAAAAAATATTTATAGTAAACGAATGTTATAGTTTCTAGCTTGAAATGTTTTATTTCATTATGTAAATCTGCTTATAAATAAGTTTAGCTGGTCGATTATCCCGTCTGGTAACAAATATAATAACTAAATGATAAAATTGGGGCTTTATTGTATACAATTTACACATTTAATGATGTTAATATTATTATTATTCTATGCAGTGCATTCATCCTGTCCGTCGCGTCTGGTCGTTGCAGGTAATTAAACTCTTCGCGATTGTTGCTCCGAGAAGGAAGGAATGAATGCATTGTCTCTGCGACCGGTCTCTTCTTTTCCTAGTAATTGCGGCGGCACGTAACACGGATATAGCACGGATCGGACGGCGTGTGCAGATAGATAGATGTGTGTGCGAACGGTAATCGTTTTTTCGCAGCTCAAGTTCACTGTGTCAACGGGACCGCAATTAATTCACGGCGCTTGATTGCAATTCGCGAGATTTTGCGAGCGAAGGTCAGAACGACAATAAAAAGAATGAAAGAATTCTTTGACGCTTGTGCAAACTAAACCATTGCACTTGCTTCATTATGGCGAAATAAAAAATAGGTTTTTTTAGAAAAAAAATGGGGTTTATATGGTTATTATTACGAGAGCGATTATTAATGCATGGAAGTTGATTTGCATGCGAGCAAGGACAAGGATATTACATAAAACTGTGTCTACTGTGCAATGATCCAAGTTGAGGTTCATTTGCATTTCATTGCAATGCATTTTGGAATTAGTTCAAGTACTTCTTCTCTCCATACTCAATTACTATCATTCTGCATTCTAGTTATCACCAAAGGTTACTTTTAAATTCCTATTTGAAATTTCCGACAATCTCTTTATAAAACTAAATAATTACAATTCACACATGCATTTGATTTTTTTTTCGTATAAATTCAAATTGCATTGATTAATTTACTTTTTTTTGAAAAGGAATGTTCTGATACGATTTATACACTAAAAGAAACAGAGAAAATTCAAATTTGATATAAACACTTATTAGTAGTTATAAACTCTGATTGTATAATAGTTAAGTTTATTTATTTACAAATTTATATTGGCCCTAACTTCGTCTAAAACCCTATCAAATGAAATCTTTCAGAAGTGAACAAATTTGTTAATGTTATTTATATTAAAATTGAAATTGTTTATTTTAAGATTATCCGTTTATATATTCACATTTCTAATCACTAACCTTGAGTGAATGTAATAGTAAATTTAGCCAAATCTCCCACGCATCGTTTTCTCTTCCAAAAATAAACGCACAGTTCTTAAAATATGAAAAACCTCAGCATAAATCATCAAAAATATAAGTGTCAACATTGACTTCATTAATCTCAATTTGTATAAATCTCCTTCACTTTCCCGTGACGATATATTTAATAATTTATATAAATCAAATAAAAAAACATGTTTCAGTGCATATGCAAAATTATTATATTTTTTTTTTATTTAATTGGAAATTAATGAACAAATAATTTATTCGCGACAAATAAACGCGATTCTCAGTTTTCCCTTTTTAAAAATTATTTGTTTTTCTTTTAGTATTTCTATCTGTCGATGCAACTGAAAACAGCAAACGACGATTTAGGTTTCCAGTTTCGTGCGGAAAGCGAGCATTCCGAAAACATAAATAATGGAACGGTTTCGATTTCCGCTCGTTATTGCTTTTTAAAAACAAACGTTTCTCTCTTCGATAATGGTAAAAAAAAAGAAACACAAAGATTACATTTCGCACACTAAATCTTATTACTTTTATTTCGATGTTAATACGTTCATGAATATTTATAGTTTGATAAATTATGTAAATTATTACTCAATTCAACTTAAGAAACTCGGAAATTATCATTTCATTAAACACAAATATTTATATAACTTTGTTTCAATACAATTGTTATTTGAATGTTACAGTTCATTGTCGTTTATTGTAATGATTACTATCTATTTTACAGTTTCCTTCGTGCAGGTGAAAGCAATCAATTAATAGAATTACCCACGCACTTAATCCAGATTATTTATTAGACCGATTTAATTATTATGATCATTCTCTAGGTTTTCCCACAATTTATCGCGTCAACTTCATGACCTTTTGCGCGCTCACGTAATTTTGGCATGATAATGAATGAATATTATGAAAATACATGAAACTGTTAGTTTTTTAACTGAAAATAGAAATGTTTGTTGCTAGCAGATTGTATTAATTACATTGATGCATCTGGTCAATGACTAATCGTTGTAATCGACTAAATTTATTAGTCATCAGTCAAAGGGTTATTATGATTACATCCGTTGTTTTCTATTGATATTCGGTCCGAGCTGTTTTCTTACTCTCGTCTACGAGTTTATTGATTGGAGCGTTGCATTCTGGTCTCTGCACTTGTAGACATGATGATGTAATCTGAAGGAATCTTTATTTTCAAATAATAGACAAAATATACTATTTTCAGATTATGTTAAGATGATGTTGTTGATACTGTTCCTAACTGCAAGTGCGTTGGCCGCGCCTCAAGATGCGTTTTTCCCGAAATGCGGGTATAAGGTAGTAACTTTATAATTTTTTAATTAAGGGAGAAAGGTAAAAATTTCATTTTGCAGTCGTGTCATAAAACTAAGGACGGTTTCATCAACGTCCATATTGTGGCGCACACCCATGACGATGTCGGATGGTTGAAAACCGTGGACCAATATTACTATGGAAGTAAGTTGAGTCTTTTCATTTAAATTGACTCTTTTGTAATGTTGCATTTCTTCAGGTAAAACTAATATACAAAAGGCCGGTGTTCAATATATCCTGGATTCGGTGATGGAAGAGCTGAAACGCGATTCTAATAGAAGGTAACGAATGATGATGAATTTTTGTGATGTAAGACAATTTCGTTTAGATTCATTTACGTGGAGACCGCGTTCTTCTGGAAATGGTGGATGAAGCAGCACGATTTCGTGAAGAATCAGGTGAGGAAGTTCGTGAATAACGGCCAATTGGAGTTCATCGGCGGAGCTTGGAGCATGAACGACGAAGCTGTTACCCATTACCAATCGATCATCGATCAATTCACCTGGGGATTGAGGTGAGTTGTGCGCGAGTAATGAATCTTTTCTGTTATACGGTGATACTTTTTGTAGGAAGTTGGAGGACACTTTCGGTAAATGCGGAAGACCGAAGGTTGGTTGGCAGATCGACCCGTTTGGCCACAGCAGGGAGATGGCATCGATCTTCGCGCAGTTAGGATTCGACGGTTTGCTCTTGGGTCGCATCGATTATCAGGACAAGAAGTTCAGGTTCACTACGAGGACGCCGGAGATGGTTTGGCGATCCAGCGCAAACTTAGGTTTGTCTTAGGATTTTAGAGTTTTCAGGAGTTTAATAAAGTTTGTTTTCAGGCGAAAGCTCCGATCTCTTCACCAGCGTCATGTACAACACCTACAGTCCTCCACCCGGTTTCTGCTTCGACGTTCTTTGCGACGATGAACCCATCATCGACGATAAGAAAAGCGACGATTACAACGTTCCAAAACGAGTGAGTCTTTAGATTTAACGAAACCCGAGCAATCCCTGCACCTCGCCTTTCAGTTCAAAGAATTCCTCGATTACGTCAAGGAGCAACGCTTTTCCTACGCAACTAATAATCTCATTGTAACCATGGGCGGGGATTTCACGTACATGGACGCTAATTTTTGGTTCAAAAACATCGACAAGCTCATTAGGTGCGTACACATCACCTTCTCTCTTCCTCTCTTTCTTCAAGGTCTTTGAATTCTTCGACTACGTGCACAACGTGTCTAAGGCTTACCAAACCGGCAACGTGATCATCACGATGGGCGAGGATTTCACCTACCAAGACGCTAACATGTGGTTTAAAAACTTAGACAAACTCATCTAGTAAGAACTGAACTTTCCAATCCCAAAACCAATTACAATGGATCTCCTTAAATCTTTTAACTAATTAATTTTATCATCAGTTACGGAAATGAGCTGCAGAAGAACGGTTCCAAATACAATTTGATCTATTCCACACCTTCGTGCTATTTGAAAGCTGTGCACGACGAAGGCGAGAAGAGGAATTTGCAATGGAAAGTGAAGACCGACGATTTCTTCCCTTACGCCTCCGATCCAAACGCCTATTGGACTGGATACTTTACCTCCAGACCGACCATCAAGCGTTTCGAACGCGTTGGCAACAATTTCTTACAAGTAATCATTTACCGAATTCTATAGCTTAACATTAATTAATTACCTAATTGTATTGTAGATTTGCAAGCAGTTGTACGCTTTGACCGATTTGGGACCCGAAGATGGTATAGATCTAAACGCTTTGAGAGAAGCTATGGGCGTTATGCAGCATCATGACGCAATAACCGGAACGGAGAAGGAGCACGTAGCTCACGATTACTCGAGAATCTTGGACAGGGGCATCGAAAAGTGCGGAATCGTCGTCGAAGAAGCGCTCAACAGATTGATCACCAACCGCAAAGAATCCGAGCTCAAGTTCGATAGCTGCCCACTCCTGAACGTGAGCCAATGTGACTCAACGGAAAACCATAAGACTTTCGTGGTAACCATCTATAATCCCTTGAGTAGGAACGTCACCAAGTACGTGAGACTCCCGGTAAAGGGATCTGCGTACAAAGTGCAAAATTCCGAAGAAGAATTGAAGGTGCAATTGGTACCGATCCATCAAGGCGTTCTTAATATTCCAGGGCGTGAGAGCGAAGCCACCAAAGAGCTGATTTTCCAAGATTCTATACCGGCTCTCGGGTTTAAATCTTTCTACGTTTCCGAAGTTCCCGGCGATATAGTCAGCAAGGAAGAAAGCGTTAAGAAGTTGGATAAAAAAGTACGATACTTCCAATAGAATTGAGAATAATATTAATAACCTTTTGCTTTAATTGTTCAGCCGATTTTATTGAAGATCGATGAAAGAACCGGAATGCTCTTCGAGATCACCATGAACGGCAAAACGATTCCTCTGCAGCAGAATTTCGGTTATTACAGAGGCGCCGTCGGAGACAACGATTCTTTCCAGAACCGATCCTCGGGAGCTTACATATTCCGACCCAACGGCACGGACACCTTCACCATCACAGATAACGCCACCTACAAGTTGTACCTGGGCGCACACGTCACCGAACTTCATCAAACCTTCAGCAATTGGGTCACGCAAACAATCAAAGTGTACGCGAAGCAGAACCACGTGGAATTCGATTGGGTCATAGGACCCATCCCCATCGAGTAAGTTTAACAATTAATCATAGTATAAACGAATAATTACTTTATCTCTTCCTAATAAGCGATGTTAACGGCAAGGAAATTATCAGTCGGTACACGACCAACCTGAAATCAGAGTCGACGTTCTACACTGATTCCAATGGACGCGAGATGCTGAAGCGGGTCAGGGATTTCAGGCCTTCGTGGAAATTGAATTTGCAAGAAACGATCAGCGGTAATTATTATCCGGTCACGTCCAGGATCTTGCTGAGGGATGCGAGCAACGATATCGAGATGGCCATTGTCACGGACAGGGCGCAAGGAGGTTCCAGTTTGGCCGACGGTGAATTAGAGTTGATGGTAAAAGGAAGTTTAGAAATGACGGATAAAAAAAACCATTAACATTTCTTTAAAAAGATCCACAGGAATTGTATGCACGATGACGCCTTCGGCGTCGGAGAAGCTTTGATGGAGGAGGCTTTCGGAACTGGACTCGTCGTCAGAGGAAGTCACCATCTAGTTGTAGGACCGTACCTTAAATCGGATGGTAAATTTCGTTTATGTTAAATCTGAACATTTAAATCTAAAATATTGTTGCAGGTATATCCTCGTATGAAAGGCAATTACTTCAGGAGAAGGTGCTGGATGCTTGGACTTTCATAACACCCACAAATCTCAGTTTCGTACATTATAAGAACCAATATAAGATGAAGGTAAGTTACTCTGTTTATATAATTTAGCAAATTTATAATTATTTTGCACTTTTAGTATTCTGGATTAACGCAAAACTTACCCGACAATGTGCAAATTTTGACGTTGGAGCCGTGGAAGGGCAACAGCTATTTGCTGAGGTTGGAGCACATCTTCGAAAAGGGCGAAGACAAAAATCTTTCAACTCCCGTCTCCGTTAACTTAAAAGTACGAAATCAAAACTTAATCTAAACGAAATTGTAAATGTATTTTCTTTCAGGATTTGTTCACAGCGTTTAAATTGAAGTCATTCAAAGAGACTACTCTGGGTGCGAATCAGTTGCTGGGTGAGAGCAAACGTCTGCAATTCAGAACTGGATCTTCGTTGGACGATCTAGTCGATATGTACGATTTCTACGAGCCCGTGGACGAGCAGGAAGATGAAAACTGGATCAAAGGCAAACAAGCCTACAGGACGAGCGAATTTGACGCCAACGATATTAATTTTCATGTCATGGACACGTTGGAAGAAGACACCGATCGTTTCCAAATCACTTTATTGCCGATGCAAATAAGAACGTTTGTTATTGAAATCAAACGCTATACTTAATATCTTTGTTTAACATTTTCTCGCATATAAAGTAGCACTGTTGTTTTGTGATTTGCTTCAGTTTTCGGAAGCAAAATGTTCAGTGTTCCCGTTACGCTACTTTGTGCTGTGCATTTAATTTACGTTTCGGCCTGCGGCTATAATGTAAGTTCATAGTTCATAGTTTTTTTTTGTTAATGTTACTTGTAATAAAACTTGAGTATAAACTGTAATCCAGTCCTGTCCGAGAGTTAAACTCGACGAGATTAACGTTCACCTTGTACCCCATTCCCACGACGACGTCGGATGGGTGAAGACCGTCGACGAGTACTTCGACGAAGACGTTAACAACATTTTGAGTACAGTAGTAAAAGCGCTCCAGGAAAATCCACGAAGAAGGTTCAAGTTGAAACAAACTTTTAAAATAAATTAAAACTAAATCTTTCATCTGAATAGATTTATTCAAGTGGAAACTGCGTATTTCTATAAATGGTGGTTCTTACAAGATGATGGAACTAAAGAGAATGTGAAGAGACTGTTAAAAAGCGGACAATTGGAAATTGTCGGTGGCGCTTGGAGCATGAACGATGAAGCTGTTACTCATTACCAGTCGATCATCGATCAATTCACGTTGGGTTTAAAGTATTTATTTAATTAAATTGTAAATATTGTAAATAAAATAACGAGAGTATTTTTTTTAGATTCTTGAATGAAACTTTCGGAGTGTGTGGGTTGCCTAGGATCGGCTGGCAAATCGATCCGTTCGGGCACAGCTCTGAGATGGCTTCGATCTTCAAGCAAATGGAATACGATGCTCTGTTCTTAGGACGAATCCATCACGAGGATCGAAACGAAAGGATTCGTACCAAAGATATGGAGTTTATGTGGAAAGATAACTCCACGGGTAATAATAATTGAAACCAATCTAATCAACAAAATAAACCCTGATTCATGTTCGATATAAAATTTCACCATAAAATTGTTGGCGTTTGCCCAAATCGCATGATTTACGGTTACAGCATGTTTATTATCGAAGATTCGTGTAATTTAGTCTATACATTTCCGTCTGCTCCTCAGGTTCGAGTTTATTTACGTCTGTGCTCTACGATTTGTACATGGCGCCAAACATGATCGGACACAATCTTTTCTGCGACTCTCCAATTTATGCAAGCAGGAAAATCAATGTAACAATAATCACAAAAATCTATTATTACCTAAAAAAACAATATAGTTTTCTTCCTTCAAATTTTAGGTGAACTTATTCAAAGAACATATAGAGAAAGTATTGAAAGCGTACAAAACTAAAAATATTTTGATTCCAATCGGAGGAGATTTTCATTACATAAACGCGAATGGTTGTTTCGAAAACCTGGACAAACTCATTAGGTCTGCAACTACATATAATTATGCGATTGCATCATATTTTATAATTGCAGAAACATGAGAGGAGAAAAATTGATCAACACTAAAATTAACGTGTTTTACTCGACGCCTTCCTGTTATTTGAAAGCACTGCATCAAGGCACAAATGGGAACGGTTTTAGTACGTTTTCCGCAGATTTTTTTCCTTATGCCGATAGGAATTACTCCTATTGGTCTGGATTTTATACGTCGAGGCCTGCCTTGAAGAAATTGGAGCGCGAAGGAAACCGTTTACTGCAGGCAATTATTTCCAACTTAATTTAATTTAATTACAACAACTGGAATAATAATACTTGCAGATCTTCAAGCAATTGCATTCTTTAGTGCCACGGTCTAAATACAATCATTCGAATCTGGACAATCTGAAGAGAATCATGGGAGTTATGCAACATCACGACGCTATAACTGGAACGGAAACACAGTATGTTGCCGATGATTACACTGCACAACTCGTGAAAGCATTAGATGACAACTTCAAAAATATCAATTTATTAATCTCGTAAGTTTCCAAATTATGCATCGGATTAATAATTATTTACGTTTTTAGTATATTTCAAAAGAATGTTTCCGATATTCATTATTGCCCTTTGAAGAATGTGAGTATCTGCGATTTTACCTCCAATAATTCGCGTTTCACTGTAACTTTGTACAATCCGCTTGCATGGACTGTAAGTCATTACGTTTACATTCCAGTTAACGCTAAGAATTTTACCGTTTCGCACAGTAAGTATAATAATTAAAGTAATCTTCAAAACTTTGATATCAACTGCAATTGTTTAGATAATGAAATGTTGCCGATACAAATTCGAGTTAACGATAAATTATTCAATGAATCGACTGAAAATTCGATAATTTTCCAAGCAGAAAACATTCCTCCGCTAGGCACGAAAAGCTTCACAATTGAAAGGAAACCGGGCGCGAGGATTTTAACTCCAATTGTTGGTAGGCAAAGTCTTCACATTGGAAACGAGGTAATCTTCGTTGAGCGTTTAACGATAATACTCTGAACTCTGTAAGTTTCTACAGAAAACGGCAGTTAACTTGGATAAAGCCGGCTTTGTGTCGAGCGTGGTTCTGAGAGGAATCCGCGTGGAGATGCAACAGAGTATTCTTTCTTACGAAGGATATGTTAGTCCATCCTTTAATCATCCTTCGTCCGGAGCATACGTTTTCAGGCCAAGCGAATTGGCAAAGAGTTTTGGTAAATTGATGAAACTGACGGTGCACAAAGGCGAGCTGTTCGATGAAATTAATCAGGTTTACAACGATTGGATCAAGCAAAGTATTAGAGTCTACAAAGATAGGGATTTCGTTGAATTCGAGTGGACTGTAGGCCCATTTCCAGAGTTAGTTTTAATGCACATTTCTTATAAGAATAAGTTATATTTTGGTGTTGCTTTCAGCGATGTTGGTGAGGAGGTGATTTCTAGGTTTTCGACAAACTTGGATACGAAAAAAGTTTTCTATACGGACGTCAATGGTAGAGGGGAAATAAAGCGTGTGACCGAGAAGAAGAAGGAAAGGATTTCCGGGAATTACTATCCTGTAGCTTCGAGGATTTCGCTGAAGGATCAAAGCAGAGATTTGAAGATGACCGTTTATAGCGATCGACCGCAGGGTGGTGCGAGCTTGATCTCCGGACAGTTGGAATTGATGGTATCAGAAAATAGCTTCGCTTCGAGAATGCACGACAGAAGGAAGCATTGTTTATTTTTAGTTGCATCGCGTTACTATTGACGATGACGAGTTGGGAGTTGGCGAGCCTCTGCGAGAGATGAACAGAAATGCTGGAGGTTTGGTCACCGGGAGGCATATTTTAGCGATGACATCTATCCACGAAAATTACGATGACCACATCTTCAATTTCCCCCCTGTCGAATGGTATTCTTCAGTAGAAAACCTTAACTTTCCACAGGTAAATTACAATATTCAAAAGTAAAAATTTAATAACTTTCTACAAATAATTGTAATAATAGTTTTCAGTTTTGAAACGCGATTTTCCTAAGAACGTCCACCTGCTAAGTTTGGAACCTTGGAATGAGGATTCAGTATTGATCCGTTTGGAATATAACGGGAAAGGATCTGATACATCGGTTGATTTAAATGTACGCAATATTATGAAACATAACTGATTTTTGTTAATTATTGTTTTTTTCAGGATATCTTCACATTTTTCAAAATCAAATCTTTCACTGAAACGAACTTGTCAGGCGTCAAATCACTTAAGAGAAGTTACAATTTCACTTGGAACGGCGTTCATGAAGAATCATTAAAAGTTGAGAATACTTTGAAAGTAGTTTTGAAGCCTACGCAAATTCGTACATTTATCGCAAAAGTCCAATATATTTAATAAAAACCATTGAATTATATTTAAGATTTAATAAATAATATAAATTAAATTTACACTTTTTCTTTTATTTCCTGTAATATTGTGAAATTTTTCTAAAACGCGCATTTCGTGTGTACGTGAATAATGCTTTCCGGCTGGCGACATGTGTAACGAACTTGGCATACTCCGTTGTTTATATTTGCATTGAAGGTTCAAAGGAACACTGGAAATATCTGTTGATGTTATTGTTTTTAGAACAGACGCACTCACAGAGTTTCATCCATCGAATCATGTTATATATTTATACAGAAATCATAATTTTATCGAAACCTGGAAAAGTTTCAAGTTGTGTTTGTTGATTTAAATGATAATAATGAAAAACTGAATTAACAGTAATCGATGCAACGTGAAAGCCGGTCGAAACACAAACAAAAATAACCCACTTAACTGATAATGAAAAGACATCAGCTGATTACATAAAATACCGATTATAGAAGTTCTTTGTATCATATGCATTTATGTTTCTTTTCTAGTATATTTTATGAGGGAATGTAGAGTAATTATATATTGTTGTTTCAAATTTGGATGATGAATGTTGGCTGCTGCTGGAGAGAGCGATGCTAAGCGCACGTTCTGCGTGGATCCGTGAGTAAAATCGATCTAACCTCGCCCAAACAAGGCGGACCGTCAATATTTAGATTGCTTATCATCGTCACCTGCATATAAAGAGACTATCGCTAATTGAATAGTACCATAAAAGTGAGCGATGTTGAAGATCGGCGTCGTCGTTGCTGCGGCCTTCTTAGGACTGGCACATGGCCGAATCCTGCCGAAAGTTAATTGCGGTTACGAGGTAAATAAATGCGCTTTTAATTATTATATATCTATACATTATATCTTTTAAAGTCATGTCCGAAAGTCGGAGGAGAAGATGTGCTGAACGTCCACGTGGTTCCGCATTCCCACGACGACGTTGGATGGTTGAAAACAGTTGACCAATACTATTTCGGAAGTGAGCTACTAACTTTACGTTTCTTTTTGATTACTTATTATCCAATTTTAATTAGCTAAGACGAATATACAAAGGGCTGGAGTGCAGTACATCATAGATTCCGTTATCAAGGCTTTGACTGAGAACCCTGAGAGGAGGTTCATCCAAGTGGAGACAGCCTTCTTCCATAGATGGTGGATGGATCAGAGCTCCAGTAAAGTGGAGGAGGTCAAGAGGCTCGTGAGATCCGGGCGGCTGGAGTTTATCGGTGGTGCTTGGAGCATGAACGATGAAGGCGCCGCTCATTACCATTCCATCATCGATCAATTCTCCTTAGGTTTAACGTAAGTTGAAATCTTGTTGTTAAGATGTTATCAATGTTATTATTTTTTTGTTTAGTTTTTTGAATCAGACTTTCGGTGCTTGCGGTCGTCCCAAGATCGGATGGCAGATCGATCCGTTCGGGCACAGCAGGGAGATGGCCAACATCTTCAGCGAGCTGGGATACGACGGACTGTTCTTCTCGCGTCTGGATTGGCGCGACAAATCGCGCAGATTGACGACGAGGACGCCGGAAATGATCTGGCAGGCGAGTCCGACGCGCGGGAACGTCTCCAATCTCTTCACTTCCGTCCTGTACAATCACTACAGCGCCCCATCCGGATATTGCTTTGACGTGACCTGCAGCGATGACCCAATCATCGACGATCCCAGGAGCAAGGAGTATAATTACAAGCAGAAGGTCGAAGGATACGCGAGGTTCATCAAATCGCAAGCCTCCAATTACCCCACGAACAACATCCTCATCACCATGGGCGACGACTTTAATTACCAAGACGCCAATTCGTATTTCATCAATTTGGACAAACTCATCAAGTCAGTTTTTCAACAATAATTATATCATAAATCATTAATATCGAAACTTTCAGAGGTTTCAATTTGTTTCCGCAATCGTTCAATGGACGTCCCATCAAAGTCTTCTATTCGACGCCCTCTTGTTACGTCAAGGCTGTAAACGAGGCCAGCTTGAAGAAGAAGCAAGCTTTCGCTGTTAAAACCGACGATTTCTTCCCGTACGCCACCGATTACAATGCTTATTGGTCCGGGTACTTCACCTCAAGACCTACCTCGAAGAGGCTCGAAAGACAAGGCAACAACTTACTTCAGGTCATCAGGCAAATCTCGGCGCAAAACATAACATACCACGTGAATGTGCAAGGACTCGACTTGCTCGAAGAGGCCGTTGGTATTATGCAACATCACGACGCAATCACCGGAACCGAAAAGCAACACGTCGCTGATGATTACGCGAGGATCGTCGATGAAGCCATGCACAATACCACCTCGGAAATCAACTTATTGTTATCGTAAGTTTTTAATCAATGGTATACAAATTTTAAGAAATCAATTGTAGGAATTTGTTGAAAAAGGGCAATGGTTACGTGAATTTGCAATTGCAATCTTGTATCTTAGCCAATATCAGCGTTTGCGCCCAAAGTTTGGAAAATAACTTTTTGGTGGCCGTGTGGAATCCGCTTGGAAGGAAAGTCGATTATCGTGTGAGGTTGCCGGTGGATGGAAAGAACTTCGACGTGCGCGGACCTTTAAGTAAATTAACCATTTAATTTAAATAAGAAACAGTATAATTATTTTATGAAATTTTAGATGAATCCATCAAGTATCAAATTGTCCCAAGCATTAGCAATTTCAGCAACTTAGGCGAGTACCATCATGCTAAATACGATTTGGTGTTCGTCGCTGAACAAGTACCAGCTATTGGTATGAAAATGTACTTTGTTAACAAGAAACAAGTCAAGGAGTACGGATATATTTTGAACGAAGCCTATGGTTACGAGCGACTAAATTTGGGAAACAATGTAAGTTTTATCAATTGAGTAAATTTGTATTGAAATTTACATCGTTTAGAAAACGGGAATCAGGATAAACAACGCAACCGGACTATTGGAATCGGTTACCATAAATGGAACGCAAATGAAGATCCAGCAAGAACTCATGTATTACATCGGCGCTAAAGGCGACAACTCGGCGTTCAACCGAAGAGCCTCCGGTGCGTACATTTTCCGCCCAGCCGTGAACAAATCCGTTCCCATCAAGTTCCCAAAGGTCACGTTCAAGGTCTTCAAAGGCGACCTAGTGGACGAGGTGCATCAGAACTTCAGCTCCTGGGTTAAACAAATAATCAGGGTGTACAAAAACACGAGCCACATCGAGTTTGATTGGCTGGTTGGCCCGATTCCAGTAAAGTAATTTCCGAGCTGCAAACGAGAATGTAAACTATTGTTAACGCGTTTTTTGCTTTCAGCGACGGAGAGCCTAAGGAGGTGATCTCACGGTTCACCACTCCCATCAATTCCGGCAAAGAGTTTTACACCGACTCGAACGGTAGGGAAATGGTGAAGAGGACCAGAGATCATAGGGAAACCTACAATTACAGCAACGAAGAACCGGTCGCAGGAAACTATTATCCTGTTACTTCGAAGATCAGCATTCAGGATAAATCTTTTACTGTCAGCGTTCTCAATGATAGAGCGCAAGGAGGAACTAGTCTTAAATCAGGAGAAATGGAATTGATGGTTATAAAAAAAAACATTGAATTAAACTATTTGTTTGTTAACTTTTGTGATTTTAGGTGCATAGAAGGCTATTGAAAGATGATGGATTTGGAGTCGGAGAAGCTTTGAATGAAACCGAATTCGGTATAGGTTTAGTTGCGAGAGGAACGCACTACTTGACAATAACCGGAAAAGGATTTTCTACATCAGAAGTTACCAAAGATTTGGGCACCGAGAAGATTTTAACACCATGGGTTTTCGTTTCGGATATCTTGAAGAAACAGACTGTCCAATCTCTATCAAAACAAATTGATTTTACCGTACGTTATTATACAAAAATTAAAGAGAAGAATTATTACAATTTTGCTTATTTCAGTATTCCGGAATTACGAAACAATTACCTAAGAACGTTCAACTGTTGACACTCCAGCCTCACAAGTATCGTAATAATTGGTTGGTGGTTCGCTTGGAACATCTTTACGCCAAAGACGAACATCCAAATCTTTCGAAAAACGTTACCATCAACTTAAGAGTAATGAAATCAACGTAACTGCAAAAATATATACTTACTGTATGCGTTTTTATTTCTAGGATTACATCCCCAAGTACAAATTGGTATCATTGTTGGAAACTGCTTTGGGCGCAGACAAACCTCTGGACGAGAGCAAATATTTGAATTGGATTTTAGGCGAAAATCTGCAGAAGGCCAACTACACGCACAATTTCGATTTGGGAAAGAAATTGGGGTACATCAGAGTGGATACACCGCAGCAAATGCACAATTTTAATATAACATTGGCTCCGATGCAGATACGCACGTTCATTGTACAAGTATAAATGTATTTATTATTGACAATCTAAGAATACAACAAAACAATAATTGTCACATCGTGACAAACCAACGTAGTTGGAATGACAACTGTTTGTTTAAATCGTGTTGGCGCTAGAAAAATATAAACAATTATTTATAATAAAAATATGCACTTATAACAATTAGGTTTCTTTGTCTGGTTTGGTTTCAGGTTCGTCTTCCTCCTTAGGATCACCGTACATTTCATGCAACGAGTCTAACTTCTGCGATATGTCTGCACTTTTGACTGTCGTTTTTGTGACTTTTTGCAGGAGCTGTTTGCTCTGTTCTTCTAAACGTTTCAGACGCTCTTCTCGCCTTTGCAGGATTTCTTCGGTAGTCCTGGACGTAGAAGGAGTAGCTTCGTTTGACTTGGGAATTGCTCCAGATGATACATTAGGTTGTGGTGATTCATTCATGTTACTTGATTCTATTTTATGTTCCTCTGGTATGGAAATAGATTGGACATTCTCACATCTAGTATTAATACATTCATCTTTTGAATTTGTTGTTTCACATGTTGTATTAGTCATTTGGCTACTACTTGCATCATCTTTTATTGTGGTAGTGTTAGCTAAAGATCTATCTGTAATTGTTTGTTCTTCATTGATTTCTGGTAAATAATTATCTGATGTGCTTGGCTGTTCTTCCATATTTAAACTATAATTTTCATACAAGTTTTCCAACTTTGTAGTATTTTCTTGTGTCTCTGTAGATTTTGTAACTTTCTGCAAATATTCCTTGCATTCTTGATTGAGCCTTTTCAATTTCATTTCTCGAGTGTTTAAGAAATCTTCGACAGTTATAGATTTCGGTTGTTCACTAGCATTATCTTCACGGCGTGTTTCTTCTTGAAGATTTTCAGTATTTATTACAGAACTTGCTTCACTTGAATTTAATTCTTTTGGTGACGTTTCATCGTGATCCTGCTCTTCGTTACAGATCTCCGAAGCTTCTTCTTCGTTAATTGCAACTACTTGTACAGTTCCATTTGATTGCTGCTCTTCTTGGAAATAGTTTGAAGCCTGAAACCCGTCGCTTTGTCTTTCGTTAAATTCAGTCTTCTCCAAGGAATGCTTATCTGGTTTCTCCTCCACGTCCGTTTCGTATCCCCGTTCATCCTCGCTGGTATCCTTGTCGCTGTAACCGCTCTCCCCGCTATTGTTATAATCATCATTGAGGTTCTTCCTTGCGGCGAATTCCTTCCTCAGTTCCTTCCATTGCTCCTGCGTCGAGTTATTCTTCTCCCTGGCCAAAACCCACTTTTCCCGGCAATCCTGCAGATCCTCTTTCAATTGCGCCAACAGTTTCCGTTTCTGCTGCAACTCGTGGCGAATCACCTTCTCGTGGGTGTGCAACTGCTGATGCTGTCTCTGCATCTTGCCAACCTGTTTAGTCATGCAACACGATGAATTAAAAACGAATTTATATAGAGATTCCGGGAAACACTCACCACGTGCCAAGTTTTACCAAGTTCCCCCGACACGAGTTCCAACCGCTTCTCCTGATCCTGCAGGCGTCCTCCCAAATGCGTATTCAGATGTTTCAACCTATACATTTCCCTCTCAAGGAACTTCTTCTCCAAAATCAAATCCTATAAACATACAATGAATTAGCAACTGTTAATAACGTGGAATAGTAAACGCACCTTTAAGCGGATGAATGTTTGGCTAACGCTCAGTTTAAGCTTTGGTCCAGTCGGAGTTTCGATGGATTTGTAGCAGTGATCACCGCTCAAATCGTTGGATGGCGGATTTTGATGGCTCAAGAGTTCAATGAGAATTTTCCAGACTTTCGGCAAATTCTCCACGATTTCCTCGGCGCTGTTCAATTGGTGCATAACTCCTTCCTTTTTAATTTCCTGCGAATTATCTTCTGAAATATGAAATCATTTCGTATTCGTAGAAATCATTTTTATACGAATCAATATGGTACAAACCTGATTCGTTTTCTTTATCGATTTGATGAATCAAATCCAACAAAAGTTTGGGTAAAGCCGCCGCATTCGATGTTGTCTCTTCGTTGGCGAATTTCGTGAGCAAACCATGGTTCTCCTCCAGAATCTTGATGGTTTTATCCAAGTTAATCTCTTGTGAATTGTTAAAACCCAAGAGGATTTCTGAAAATAGCTACAGATATTATTAGATTGATATCGTTACTTGTTATTGTTGATGTACCTGGTTTATAATATCGATCTCTCCTTGTAACTCCTTGCAATCGGCTTTGCTCAAACCTAGATTTGATTGCAAATTATTGATTTCGTCGTACTTCTTCGAGTTCTCCTCTTCCAATTCAGCAATCCTCTGAAGATGTTCTCTTTAAATTTTCAACAATATTAAATTAGATTATGTTATTTAATTACTTTATTATTACTTGTTTTTATTTTGTTCCTCTTCCACCAGCTTCTGAGTCTCTTCTAATTGCGTCTGCAAATGTTCCTTGTCTTTCTTGTCAATTCTCTGCCGCTCCTCGTACAACACGCGCAAATTCCTGATGTTCCTTAGTTGCCTTTCGTACTCCTCCCTAAGACCATCGGACATGATTTTCATCTCTTTCGAGGCTAACAATTCTTCGACAGTTTTAACTTTGTTTTTGAGCTGAAAAATTATATAATTTAATAAATATATTTTAAATCAATTATAATATAAAACTTACTTCTTCGATTTGGTTTTCCCGAATCTCCAGCATATTTTTAGTAACGCGAACGACATCCTTCAAGGCCGTGATGTGATTGCCGTATTCCAAACGTTCCTGCTCGATGGCCACCAGTTCAGAGTTCACTCTTTGCACTTCACCCTGCATTTCACTGATGCTCAAACGCAATTCCCTGTTCTTCGCCGCAACATCTGCCATGTTCCTAAGCTCGATCTTCCACTTTTCAATTTCCACTTTAAGATCGTCGTTTTCATCCTTCAGTTGAGCGATCTCTTTCACGTGGTCACATCCACTACGCACTTGCTTCAAATCTTCGTTTTCTTTCTGCAGACGCTGCACTTCCTCCCTCAAATCCATCATCTCCTTTCGCTTCTCCTCGATCAGTTCCCTGCGTTTCTGCTGCTTAAGCTCCAGCTCTCTCCTGAAGTTGATCAAATCCTCCCGTTGTATTCTCACTGGTTCCGGTGTTCTGGGTGCTTCTCTTGCCGGCTGCCACCAGATATCGTCTGAGGTGTTTTGGAAAAACTCGCTGCGTACGTTGCCCATTTTATTCGCGAGAACAATGGCGTTGTTTACCGTGTCCCTTCTATCTTTCCTTCTGCGTTCGCTGCCAAAATATTTTTGGAATTCGTTGGAATTATGACTATAACTGTACGATGTTGTGCTCCGGTATTTCAGGAACGCGCTGTTGTTTCTTTCGCGTTTTATTTACTCTGTATCGATAATCTCTCGGGATGCGTTCTGATTCGTAGGAGTCGATTTCACCGATTGCGGTTTATTAAACCGACTAAAATGTCCGACACTGCCGTTCGCCGTTCACTGGTCTTCAAAAATAGAATCCCGTCTCTCTGAAGGCCTGGCATATGCCAAAATTTATAAATACGCCGTTCCGACTAGTTTACACACACACACATACATGCACGCACACTACACGGCTTGATTATAAAAGAAAAGGAAATTATAAATACTTATATACATTCATTATCCGTTATTATCCGGAATGTATCAGCAGGGATGTATTTTTGGCAGTGAATAAGCAGTGTTTGAAAAGTTTTCGTAGTTCCCGGTTTTTTTTTTTGTCTATCGGCGAGCACACGAAATTCTAGGTCCCAGCAATTCGCACTTATACCCGCGCTACTTAGCTAAATGATCTAACACTTAACGCTCGAAGCTCGAAATGAGGTAAGCTCATCCAAAACGGAACAATAACAAGTGAAACGAGTGTCGTTCGTCCTCCAGGTTTTCAACGCTTCTGCTAATCACAGTTCTGGGCTTCCTCATCATCATCCAAGTCGATGGCAAGAGACGCGGCAACGACGAAAAACAAGTAAAAGGTAAGAAAGATTCCGACGAGGATTCCAGTCGGAGCTTCTCCTTCGAGAAGAAACCGGATAAACACAAATGGAAGAAGCTCACCAGCGAGGAGGAACGCGAGATCCAAGAGTACAGGAAAAAGAAAGAAGAACTGAAGAACAAGAAGACTTTGGGCTCGGTCATCGAGGAAAAGAAGATGAAGAACAAAGCGAGGAAAGAAAAGTTTAAGAAAAACGTCCTCAAGCATTTGTAAGTTTGATGAAATACCAACAAAAATAAATAGATTACTTATTCTATTTGTTTTTTTCTTTCAATTTTCAGCGAAGGTGAATTCGAAGAGAGTGACGACGATTCGTCCGAGGAAATCGTTGCACCATTGAGACGCACCAAATTGGCAGGAACAGATGATTGCAATTCGTTTGAGGATGATTGCATGTAGTTTATTATTTATTAATTATTCTTAGTTAACACCTAAAATCCAAGAAACACTTACACATTCAGAGGAACAAACAGATTTGGGCAAAAACCCGAAATTGAAATGCATTTTCAACTCCCATTCCCTTAAAATCACCTAAACACAATTTCTAAACACTAAACACAAGTATTTAAAATTTAACATTAAAATATTTAAATTGTAAACGTAGATATTTCTTCTTTTTTTTATAAAAAACTATAAATAAAACTGTTTAAAAGCTACGAATTTAATAATTTAATATCGCTTAATCAAAATTATCTTTTATCATAACAAACAATTAAATCCATCTGCACCTAATAATTAGTTTAATGAACATTTTAAAATCCCCCATTTTTTTTTTCATTTCCAAAATGAAAATACTTAAATACGTAAGAAAGAGAAGATATATAAAAATTTCTGGCTGAGGTTCGAGCAATTACAGCAATTTGGACCGATTCGAAATAAGCGAGCAGTAAATTTGAAACAGTTAAAATTAACAAACCCAAAAAAAATATGTGCCAAAATGTTGACTGGGTGTTGCAGACGTCGTTCCAGAAATTCCAATCAAAATTGAAGACGCCCGAAAGGATTACGGATGCGCACTGCCCGGCTTTGTCTATTCTTAGATGCAAGTTATTTTTACCATATCGGTAGTAAAACTGGAGCGGATACACATGTCTCAACATAAACCGCCAACAATTTGTTTTTACGGAATCTTTTTCTGTTTTCTTCTTTCATGATCTATTAAGTCTTTTAAATGTCCTGTTTATAACCAGTAAATTAGGAAGTTTGAGAACGAAATATATAAATACTTCAATGCGACGCGTACATTTTCTTAATTTTTAATGATTCTATTTACGTTTTACAAATTGTCTACATCAAGAAGACATATAATTTAGATACATTCGGAGTTGTTGTTTTTTTTTACATATATACTCCTAGATCCGTTACATGTCCTGTTATACCAAAAGTATGAACGGATGCACCACGTGAAGGTTATGTGAACGGTCTTGCATATATACAGAGGCTATAAGTTGCGCTTGTGAAAATGCCTGGAACCCAATTGCTGTATTTAAACAGAAAAAGGTTTACCTTTGCACCCAAAGATGTTGCCGAGTGGAAACCGTAGATCCCATACACCGTACGAGATACTACGCACGACAACATCCCGGAAACAGGACAAAAACAAATAGAAGGAAAGGAGAGAAAGGAAATGCGGTGTTAAAGGAATCTGAAATTAAAATCATAAATAAACAACGATACTTAACTGGAAAATAAGATTAAAAACACTATTCAACACAAGCACTATCGGATAAACGCGTGCTAGCTAGCAAATAAAATCGATCGCGAATTGTGAAAAGTGTCACAATTATATAATACAAAACTACATAGTAGCATAGAAGCGTAGTAAGCAAAAGCGAAGAAAGCAAACTAAATATCACCACTACTGCAAAATGAGTAAATAAATTAATATCTGAAGGATAAAAAGAAAAATTGAAACTGAAATTAAACTAATAAGGTGATATATCTAAAAGCAAACACATAAAATCACTCACTACTTTGATGTCCGAGGGAAACCTAGACCCTCTAGAATGTAAAATAATTTTAGTTACTGTTGAATAGTAACATATACAAACGATTCTGAATCCGGCTTTCTTCAAAATCCTCCTCGGAAGTCGCGCTCGTCATGACGTTGATCCTCCAGGTCCATTGGAAACTCACTGCTTCGATGTCCCAGGGAAACCTACACCCTAGAACGTCACATAATGTTAGTTACTGTTAAATTGTAACATATACAAACGATTGTGAATCCGGATTTCTTCAAAATCCTCCTCGGAAGTCGCGCTCGCCTTGACGTTGATCCTCCAAGTCCATTGGAAACTCACTGCTTTGATGTCCCAGGGAAACCTAGACCCTAGAACGTCAAATAACTTTAGTTACTGTTAAATAGAAACATATACAAACGATTCTGAATCCGGCTTTCTTCAAAATCCTTCTTGGAAGTCGCGCTCGCCATGACGTTGATCCTCCAGGTCCAATGGAAACTCACTGCTTCGATGTCCCAGGGAAACCTACACCCTAGAACGTCACATAATGTTAGTTACTGTTGAATAGTAACATATGCAAACGATTGTGAATCCAGCTTTCTTCAAAATCCTCCTTGGAAGTCGCGCTCGCCTTGACCTTTATCCTCCAGGTCCATTGGAAACTCACTGCTTCGAAGTCCCAGGGAATCCTAGACCCTAGAACGTCAAATAATTTTAGTTACTGTTGAATAGTAATATATACAAACGATTATGAATTCGGCTTTCTTCAAAATCCTCCTTGGTAGTCGCGCTCGCCATGACGTTGGTCCTCCAGGTCCATTGGAAACTCACTGCTTCGATGTCCCAAAGAAACCTAGACCCTAGAACATCAAATAATATTAGTTACTGTTGAATAGTAATATATACAAACGATTATGAATCCGGTTTTCTTCAAAATCCTCCTCGGAAGTCGCGCTCGCCATGACGTTGATCCTCCAGGTCCATTGGAAACTCGATTCAACTCGAACCTT